CTCAGCCTGTCTTTGTAGGGAGGTGCTGCAGCCCTCTGAGCATCTTTGTGGCTCCTCTGGACCCTCTCCAACAGCTCCCTGTCTTTCTTGTACTGGAGGCCCCAGACCTGGATGCTGCACTGCAAGTGGGGCCTCACAAGAGCAGAGCAGAGAGGGGCAATCACCTCCCTGTCCCTGCTGCCACCCCTCTGCTGATGGAGCCCAGGATTTGCTTTCTGAGTTGCAAGAGCAAGCATGGCAGGCGTGTAGTGTGTCCTGCTCATCCCTGCCTTTCTTCTCCCAGTGGGAACTGAATAGGGAACAGAATAAGATGGTGCTCTTCTGGAGGAAGGCATTTATTCTCTGTAGACTGGCGCTGCATGGACTGGAGGGCCCTCCCCACTGCTGAAGGTGAAGCCAGAGCACAACTGGCTTTGAGCTGTCCTTGTTTCCATCCCCATAGCGTTTGATGGACTTCAGTAGGGTTTCAGTGGGTTCTGGTTTTGTTTTCAACTTGCTGAGCCCTCGACAGGGCAGGGTGCTGAGTATGGCAGAGGGCGGCCGGCTCAGAGCCTTTGCTACCTGGGGGGTTTCAGTGCGACTTCTCTTTGGATGAAGTGTTTGTGTTCTGAATAGCTGCAGTGCACCGAGTGCCACCACCACAAAGTGACCCCAGAGTGGTTACCCTGTGTGCCAGCAGCCCTGTCTGATGGGGAAACACTTCTGCACCCCTGAGCTGTATGAGGAGTGTGCTGACAGATGGGACGTGCAGCATGCAGCTGTGCAGGGCCAACCAGATCCCAGCTCCTGAGCGTGCTGTGCTAAGGGACAGGGCCTGCACAGCCTGACAGCAGGAGGAGCTGCTGTGTTGGGCTGCTCAGGAACGGGTCCAGGGATTCCTGCCGCGTTCTCAGGCACTCGGAAGGGATGTAGGTGTATGTTTTGCTGTAAGCTGTCTAGCAAGTTCGGGTTGCATCTCTGTAAAACACGAGGCACTGGAGGAGCTGCACAGCGCTCCCTTCTGCTGGGCTGAGGACTGAGTGGAGCCCTGCAGCTCTGTGTCCCAAGTGCTCTTCCGTGCAGCTCTGTTCTCACACAACTCGTGCTGGAGCAGCGCTGCTCCGTGTTGTCCTGGCAGTGACTGGGGGAATGATTTCAGTTGGTTTCACCTCTGCAATGGCTGACAGAGAACAAAGGGACGCCCCGAGGAGCTGAGCTGCTGACAGTGTGTGCTGCATCTGTTCTGAACCAGTGCCGGTGCTATTGGTCATGCAGTGGTTTTGCCTTTCCTCTTTTCCAGTTCTGAAATAGTTCAGAATAAGTTCAGGCAAATTGAGTAGAGTTTACTGAAGAAATTAGAAAACATGTTAGGATTTGGTGCTTGTTGTAAGGGTGATGTATGTCTGTGGTGTTCCGATCCCTGGGGCTAATGTAGAATGCAGTTTGGATTTTGGGTCGTGTTGTGTGGAGCTGGGAGCTGGGCTCAGTGTTGCTGGTGGGTCCCTTCCAGCCTGGGGTGTTCTGTGGTTCTGTGGATGAAGGTAAACAGCCCTGTGATGTTCAACTGAACCCATGCACTGCTGGCAGTCAGTCAGAATGGCAAGCTGCTGACTGAAGCAGCCTTCTCTTTGCAACAAGCACTTATGTGCAGCATAGCACAGAACTGTATTGTAGGGCTAGGAATAGAAATCCAGAGGTGTCACTGAATGTCCCCTGTTCATGGTGCCTGGTGCTGGCCCTGGGTTGGTGCTGTGCCACAGGGGTGTGAGTGGTCATAGAATCACAGAACAGCCTGGGTTGCAAAGGAGCACGATGCTCATCCAGCTCCAACCCCCTGCTGTGTGCAGGTCACCAACCAGCAGCCCAGGCTGCCCAGAGCCACATCCAGCCTGGCCTCCAATGCCTGCAGGGATGGGGCATCCACAGCCTCCTTGGGCAACCTGTGCCAGTGCCTCACCACCCTCTGGCTCAAAAACGTCCTCCTCACATCCAACCCAAACCTCCCCTGTCTCACTTTCAAACCATTCCCTCTTGTCCCATCACCACCCACCCTCACACACAGCCGTTCCCCCTCCTGTTTATCCACTCCCTTCAAGCACTGAAGGCCACCATGAGGTCTCCCTGGAACCTTCTCTTCTCCAAGCTAAGCAATCCCACTTCCCTCAACCTTTCCTCATAGGAAAGCTGCTCCAGCCCTCTGACCATCTCAGTGGCTCTCTTAGTGGTCACTGTGCCGTGGGTCTCCATCGTGGGCTCCTCCTTTGGGGTTTCACGTGGCACAGACTCAGTACCATGTGGGTGCCTTAATTCATTTCCAAATAATTGTGGGGAAAAGTCCTTCTGTGTTTCGTAACGTTGGCGTTGCCCTCCTTTTGAATTGAGGTCATGCCATCCTAACGCTGCCTGTGCTTTGTTGCAGATCCTTCAGCCACTGGGCCAACTGTAATAGAAAATGGTGACCATGGGATGGAAGATCACCGCCCAGGTAAGTGCCAGCACAGAGCCTGTTGTCTTCATTTGTCCTTGGAGCAGTCAGAGCTCCCTGTGAGCAAACAACTCATCTTTGTCAAGTATTTCTCCGCAGAGGGTTGGTTTTGTTTTGTCTTTTTTAGATGAACTCCTTTGTTTCAAATACTTCATAGAGTTCGATTTGGAGTTCGATTTTGCTTCCCTGTGTGAAGCTGTGCTCTGAGGGCTGTGTGTGAGTTATCCACACTCAGTGTGGGAAGGTGGCATCCAGGGCACCGCTACCCAAATGGCTTTGCAGGAAACCCAGATAGTCTGAGCAGAGCTCTCTGCTAACCATAACATAGCAGAAAAATATGGCATCTGTTCCTGGTGGGACAGGAGGGAATGTTTCTTTCTTTCCCCCACTACTCAGTACTTGTGGAAGTACTAAGAGCTGCTCTTCGTTCTGTAGCTTCTCTTGGGTGCTTCCATGGCTGCCTTGATGCAACTCTGTCCTAGTGCTGGCTTTGGCTGTGTGCTGTCAGAGCCGAGCTCTCAAGCAGCACAAGGGTAGCTTATTCCACAAGAAACTTGTGATAAGTGGACCAATATTCCAGACTGGCAAGGAGTCTGGAACGTAATTCATCTCTCTATCAGCATGGCACATGCTGAAGTTAGTTGTCTTCCAACAGCTGCCTTCAATGACAAGCAGCAGTTCCCTCTTTTGAGACCTTCTGCTGTCAGTGAGGTTTCCATCCCAATTGCAGCCAAACTCTTTGGGGTGAGCTGCACAGCACTCCAAGGCTGCATGCAGAGCCAGCAGGGAGCTTCTTTGTGATGGAGTCAGCCTTGACTGCCATGACTTGTGTCGTCCTGCTGGTCCCAGCAGTAAGGATGCTCCTGAACTGCCCAAGGAGCACTTCTGACTTTTTAACACACAAATAACAGAATGAGGCATAGGACATGGCAACGATGGCTACTGAAATGCGTTGGGAATTTTACAGAACTCCTGAGCTTAAAAGAATTCTTGTTACGTCTTCAATACGAGCGTTCTGGAGGTTGAACTCCTTGTGCACGCAGTGTGAACAGCTGTGATCAAAGATACCTTCATGTGTCTGCAGCCCTGCAGTTTATTCATATCATCCGTCCTTATGGGGCAGAGCTGGATTGTTTTTCCTGGTAAAGGCTGTCACAGTGACATCAAAGCAGCAGAGGCAGCGTGTCAAAGGCAGGCATCGAGTTAATGAGGTTCCTTGGAACAGCACAAGGTCTGTACAGTGGAGCTGTTGCACTGTTTCTTCCTTATGGAACAGCAGAAAAACCAATGTTCCTACATCTGAGAGCAAGGGCTAAATGCTGCTTATAAGGCATGTAATGGAGACTTTCACTCGCGTGGAGCTGAAGAGCAGCTGAAGCCATGCAGGAGCACAGGGGGGTTGTCCTGGAGCAGTGGTGGGCATCAGCGGGCTCCACACAGAGCGAATGCTGCTGTCTGTATCCGGGCAGCACACCGTGGGCTCTCTTGTGTTCAGCTGCTCTGTTCCCTGCGCTGTCTGTTGAAGCTGCAGTGATCCCTGTGGCCGTGCTGTGGGGCTGGGAGAGGAGCAGCTGGGAGCAGGGTGATGCTCGTGGTGTGCAGCTTTGTGCCGGGAGCAGGCTGTGCCCAGAGCTGCAGGGAGCGCCCAGCAGCACGCTGTGCTCACCTTGGATTCCCAAACCGACTCAAGGGAAGTACTGGGGAAACGCAGGTAGGGAATACAGGTGTCTGCTTATCGCCCCAGTCTAGAGCGTGGGAAGCGTTGCTGTGCTTCTCACCTGTCCAATAAATGGAGGTGTTGACTTGTCCGTGTCTCACTGCTCACTGCCCCAAATCCCAGCAGAGTGGTTGGGGACAGCCCTGCACTGACTGCAGGATTGCTCTCATTGTAACCACGATGCATTTATGTGATGGACGTAGGGGTGTGCATAAGTCAGTATTTCAGAAAGTAAAACCTGGCTGCCACGGGGCTGAGAATCACAGCCTGGGCTGCAGAGGAGCACGATGCTCATCCAGCTCCAACCCCTGCTGTGTGCAGGTCGCCAGCCAGCAGCCCAGGCTGCCCAGAGCCACATCCAGCCTGGCCTTGAATGCCTGCAGGGATGGGGCATCCACAGCCTCCTTGGGCAGCCTGTGCCAGTGCCTCACTGCAGAGTGGCAGCTCTTTGAGGAGCTCCATCTTGGCAGGTTGTTTCTTCACTCTGTGCGTGTTCTTTTGCTCTGGTCTGGAGAACATAGGAGCTACCAAGCAGGAGCTGTGAGTTGGGCCCCCAGCACCAGCTGGAAGCAGTCATTGCTATTTCCTTATAAGGGTAAATGGAGCAGCAGTTGCTGCAGTGCTGGGGGAGCAGCCATGCATGCCTGCTGCACGTGGGATGGTGTGGGAGTGGGGAGGCAGCAGCGAGTGCTGCAGTGGGCCTGACTGCTGGCTGCACGAGTTCAGAGTGCCCAGTGAAACTAACAGCAGCTCTGAGATAGAAACAAAAGTGATCTTGGAGCAGCGCTACGTTTGCAACTCCTGATGTGGGATATTTGCCCAAAGTTCAAAGGAATTATATTAAATAATAAAAAAAAATAAAATAAAATTGAAAGACCAATTTATGGAAAGAAATCCATCAAGGGTGATCAGGTGGATGAGTGGGAGCAGTGCTCGTTGCACGGTGCTGCCTGCTGTCCTGCTGGAAGCAGTGAGCTGCACTGGCTGTGCCCACTCTCCCTTCTTGGCTGGCCCATGTCTTTCTCTCAGGTCGGGCCACAGAGATGCTGTCACTGATTTCAGTGCAAATTGTGCTTGTAAGCATCATCCAGAGCTGCTGCTCCTGGCAGCAGTGTGCCACTGATGGTGCCTGGTCGTGGCTGATCTTTGCAGCGCTGTGCCCTAGCATGGCTGGGCTGCATTCACAGACACCTGGAGAAGCAAACTGTGCCATATCTGATCTGGCTTTTGGCAAATGTCCCGGCTGCACGAGATGAAATGTTGCTTGTTGTGCAGTGTGCTACCTGAATGTTCATGTTTACTAATGACTTGCGCTTTTTTGCCCCTCTCCCCATCCCTCTTCCCTCTCCTCCTCCTTTTCCCCTCTTCTATTTTCTCCTCCTAGAAGCCTAGACTGTCTCCTAACACTGGGGCTGCCACTGTTACAAGACCAGTGTCCTTTTCTACCTGCCATTGCTCTTCTAAAATCTTCAGCATTTTGCAGAGCTCTTGCTTTACACCTCGGACTTTGCATATAGAAGAAGCCAAGGGCGGCAGCGCCGCAGCCGATCAGCCCTGCTCCTCCTCCCTCTGCTCTACAGTGCTTGTTGAGACCTTCCTTTCTTTCTGTGAGCACAGCTGTGCACTGTGCTCCTTCACTGTTTCGGCTCTCCTGCTGTGTTCGCATCACGACCGCGGCTCCGTTTTCGGTTGAACCACTTTTAGCTTGCAGCTGAACGCTGCTGTCATGGATTTAACAGCAGGGAATGGGGCATCCACAGCCTGTTTAATGGTTTAACTGCAGAGGTTGGGGATGGCACTGGAAGGTGCTCTGTCCTGGTGGATGAGCAGTGCAGTCCCACTCACCTTTCCCTTTGCTGCTTTGACACCTTCCCATACGAGCTTCTTATCTCTGATGATGTCTTAAAACTGAGTGTTTCCACGTCGCAGCATTTATCATGGAGACTTGGAGAGTGGATTAGGAATGGCCGCTTTCCTCTGGGCTGTGAGGGGTGGGCTGTGGGCACTGCCAGCAGCTGGGGGTGGAGAAGGCTGGGAGGTTTTGCACTGCTTTGGATGAGACAAAATGAGGTGGGGTTCTCGCAGACCCACGCGTGGGTTGTTTGGGGATGGGGGTGTCGTATGGTAACCATTGCTTTACCCACAGCGTCTGCTAAAAGCACGGGATTTGTCTGAGCCAAAATCCACTCTGAGATGCAGAATATGATTCCTCAGAAGCTCTTACTGTAAGACTTTTGCCAAAAAAAGGTAGCTGCTGCTTTGGGAAGAGAGTAGCTGTCAGTTAGACCCCCCAGTGCCCCGCTATCAGCTGCATGACAGCAGCAGGCACGCAGTGGCTCGTTGCAGGAGCAGCACACCTCAGTGAGCACTACTGCTCCCACTGCCTCCAGCTGCCCTCTGAAGCTCTCCCTCAAACAGAGGCCAATCCCATCTTCATTATTTGGGACCATCTCAGCCCCTGGTGCTCCCCACCCCATGCCTGGGCGGCTGCATTGGGTGCTGTGTCACCAGGCCTGGCTCCCTGGGGCTGGGCCGTGCAGTTGCCCAGCGGCAGCTCTGCCCTCCTGATGGTGCAGATGGGGCGAGGAGAGCACATGGGGGCCCTGCTCTTGGCAGGAGGTTCTCTCCTCCTTTTCTGTTGGCTGTTGCCAAAAGCAGAGCTTTGTGTAGTTGTTTATTGAAGACCTCCTGTACCTGCTTGCTGAGCTTGGTGCCTCGAGCCGTCCGTTCACCTTTTGCCTTACGTGGCCCAGGAACAACGTGAGGGGTTTTCAGGCTGAGCAGCAGAGCTGTGCAGGGTGCCTGCACGCAGTGCCCTCACAGTGCTTTACTTTAGCCAAACACAGGCACTGTGCAGGTGCTGCTCCTGGAGGCCCGTGGGGTCACTGAGCCCACAGTGCCCCCAGCAGCACCCATGGGTCCCTTCCGACGGGAGATTCTGTGCTCCTGTGGCTGCTGATGAAGCCAGGCACTCAGGCTGCAGTCACTGTGTCACAAGCAATGCATTCCATCACACTGCCACTGCTTTCCCCAGATTTCCGTCCTTGTTTTCAGTAAGTTTACAAACCCATCTGTAGCCACGGCTGGATCGGAGCTGCTTATCGCCTCAGCCCTGACCCCCCTCCCATGGCCCTGTGTGCCAGCATGCCCTGCCCATGTGCTGCAGGTGGGCTCTCCCTGCTCAGCACTCAGTGTCCAGGTGCTGCCTGGAGCCTCACGCTGTGCCAGCAGCTCTGCACTGTAAATGGGTACCTGGGGGTCTTTGAGTCTTGGTTTGTTCTGTCCTTTTTTCCACCGAGTAGCGACCAAATGTGTCACAGCTTCAACTCTGCTCTCCCTGACTTTGTCCAGGTTTTAGAGGTAATGATGTGTTTGCGGGACTTATTCTCACCTTTCCGTGCGTATAAACCTATCTGCTGTCACCTCTGGTTTTCCTCACTGCTGCCAGTGCTGTGTACCATGTGAAGCTGTGTATCACTGCTGAATAAACCACTGTAATAAACACCTGAAATGAACCTTCTGCGTTGTACTGTGGTGAGAACCTCCTTGGTGCTGCTGTTATCCCTGCTCTCGTGGCTGAGAGTCTCCAGAGGTAAAGGCTCAGAGCAGCACGCAGTGGCTGTGCCGTCTGATGGGAGTTTGCAGACACATCCATCCCATCCCATCAGAGCTGAAATGCTTTCAGGGAGCCACGTTGTTGGGTGCTTTGAAGGGGATGCAAAAATAGAAGGAAGGAAAATCAGTTCTCACAGCATTGACAGGAGAGGTGGGGGCTGCTTCCTTGATGCAGGGAGCAGCAGCACGCATGGAGCAGCTCTTGGTAGCAGCCGGTGCTCGTGGTGCTGCTGGGGGTGCTGAGCTCCTGCAGGGCTCCTGGAGATACGGCACGGCTGCGGGCATCTCATCCACACACAGTGAGATTCCTGAGCGCTGCGATGACTGCAGGTGGCTGTTGGATTTTGGGGTGGTTATTTGTAAGGCTGAGATGGAGCACAGAGGCGGTGTCCCATTGGTGAGGGGCAAAGCCAGGGGACGTCCTGCTGCTGTGGGGACAGAGCCGTGCGCCCAGAAGGGCCAACTCTGCCCAGCTGCTGCAGGGAAGAGCAGAAGTGCAGAGCTGTGCTCTGTGGTGCTCCAGAGCAGGGTTCTGCATCGTGTTTTGCTGCTGCTGGGCTTTAAACTCAGGGGGTTGCATTGCAGTGCAGCCCTGAGCCCCTCCTGCTCTGCTCCGTGGCTGCGCTTTGTGCAAAGCCCACATGGCACTCAGGTGGTGGTGCCCACAGTTTTCTGCCTTCTCCTGGTTAGGAGCTTGGGGACTGCAGTGACTGTTCCCCTCTGAACTCTCCCTTCATGTTCACCTCGGAGGGCTGCGTGGGGTTTGGATGTGGTGGGAGCAGCTGCTTTGCAGAGCTCCAGTGTTGGGAGATGAAGTAGAGGAAGTGTTCCTCGGCAGGCAGGGGCAGCGGCTGCTGCCAGCACGGAGCTCCTCTTGCAGATGGAAGCTTTCAGTGCGAGGATGCAGAGATGTCGTGGTGCCCCTTTGGGGTCAGGCAGGTGTGCATCAGTTCCATAGCACTGATGGGCCCAGGAGTGGCTGCAGTCCCGAGTTCTGCAGCACAGGGCAGTCCTCTGTGTGCATGTTCTGCTGTAGTGTCTCATCGAGATCCCTTTCATGTTGTGCTTCTTTGGAGCTGTAAGTTTAGTAAAGTTCCTACCATAGAACCATAGAACCATGGACAGCCTGGTCTGCTGGTTGGCAACCCTGCACATAGCAGGGGGTTGAAACGAGATGATCATTGTGGTCCTTTTCAACCCAGGCCATTCTGTGATTCTAACCATTCAGGTTGGAAAACACCTTTAAGATCAGCACGCCCAACCCCATCCCACCTCACCGTGCCCACTGCCCACATCCCCACAGCTCCTCAGCATCTCCACGGACCCCCCCACCCCCTGGGCAGCTGTGCCAGCACCCGGCTGCTCTTCGGGAGTGGGAATTGTCCTCCCTAGCATCCGACCTGACCATCCTCTGCTGCTGCACCGTGAGGCTGCTGCCTCTCACCCTATCCTGTACCCAGGAGCAGAGGTCGACCCCCCCCTCACCACCTCCTTGCAGGAGCTATAGGGAGCAATAAGGTCACCCCCGAGCCCCCACTCTCCACACTGACCCACCCCACACCCTCAGCCGCTCCCCCAGCACGCTGCTGCAGACCCCCACGCCCCGCTCCCCTCTCTGCACGCGCTCCAGGCCCCCCATGAGGGTCCCAGCACTGAGCGCAGCACTGCACTGCAGCCCCACCGACCGCTGCCATGCAGAGGGACGGCCACCTCCTGCTCTGCTGCCAGCACTGCTGCTCACACAGCCAGGCTGCTGCTGGCCTCCTTGGCCCCTGGGCACGCTGCTGGCTCCCATTCAGCCCGCTGTCAGCTGCCATCTTTTGTATTCGTTTTCCTTACAAAATTCAACCTGCACGGAGCCTCGATCTCATCAGCAGAGGGCTGTGATGGGCAGCACAGGTTGCAGGCAGAACTGCATGGCTGAGAGCAGTCAGCCCGTGCTGCCCAGCCCAGGGAAGGGGCGGCTCCTGCCCCGGCACTGTGAGCACCAGCAGCTCTGCAGAGGGCTTTTTGTGGCACAGGAGCATGTTTTAATGGCTGTTTTGGGTTTATGTGAAACAAATGGTGACTTCTGCTGAAGGGCAGAGCGATGCTGGTGCTGGTGCCCGTGCCTTTGCTTCATGTCATGATGCAGTAACACTGCTGGACATCTCCTGTCTGCTTTTGGAGAAAAACTGGCACTACTGCCCATTCCAAGTGCCTTCCTGTACATGTACTGCAAACTGTGCTCTTTCTGAAACCTTCTGGGACTGCTTTAAATGCAATGCATGGTCCTGGTGCTGCGATACAAGCTCTCTTTTTGGTAATTTTAGTGAATTGCTGGATAAGAAAAAGTAATAACAGCAAGTTGCTCTTGCTGCAAATTTTGCATTTTGTCTCTTCTGCCCTGCACAGGAATGTGGGCTGCAGGCTGTGTCCCATGGCAGTGCTGTGGCTGCAGGCTGTGTCCCATGGCAGTGCTGGGGCTGCAGGCTGTGCCCTGTGGCAGTGCTGGGGCTGCAGGCTGTGCTTCATGGCAGTGCTTGGGCTGCAGGCTGTGCTTCATGGCAGTGCTGGGGCTGCAGGCTGTGTCCCATGGCAGTGCTGGGGCTGCAGGCTGTGCTTCATGGCAGTGCTGGGGCTGCAGGCTGTGCTTCATGGCAGTGCTGGGGCTGCAGGCTGTGCCCCATGGCAGTGCTGGGGCTGCAGGCTGTGCTTCATGGCAGTGCTGGGGCTGCAGGCTGTGCTTCATGGCAGTGCTGGGGCTGCAGGCTGTGCACAGCATGGTTTGGGTGCAGAGCAGCCCCCCAGGGCCGTCGGTGCACGGTCAGACCTGCGGTGCCGCTCACATTCCAGCGTTGCTGTCCTCTGACACAAATGGGGAGGCTCTTTCCCTATGTTAAGTGACACAATCAGGGGGATTTTCTTCCTGGGCTGTAGTCTTGTTTGCTGCTTGTACCAAATCAGCTTAAGCCGTTGTGTAAGGAGCTCTGTGATTTGCAGGGCCGTGCGGCCGTGCTGCGCTTCCCAGCAGTGGGGCTGCAGCCCCGGGCAGCGGGGTTGGAAGGGGGAGGTGGGGATGGAGGGCAGTGGGGACGCGGGGCAGGGCTGTGGATGGCACTGCTGTGTGGCTGCTGGCTGTGGGTGTGGGATGGACCAGTGCTGGGCCTCCCTCCTCGGTGCTCTCCTATCAGCCTTCCACTTCTGCTTGTCCCATTCTGCTTTTAAGCTTTGATTCTAAAGTGCACCACGTCTTTTTGAGCGCAAAATAAGAACCATTGAGGTTGGAGCCCAACCCCACCATGTCCACTGTTCCCCATTGCCACGTCCCCACGGTTCTGCACCATCCCAGCACCATAACACCTCCCTGGGCAGCTGTGCCAGCACTGACTGCTCTTTGCAGGAGGAATTGCCCCAGCCTGACCCTCCCTGGTGTAGGAGAGACAAGCAGGACCTCCGTGCACTCTGTTCTATCACCCATGGGCAGTCATGCTCTCAACCCATGCTCACGTTGCCCAGTTTTCCTGTCATTACCATCACTGGGACATTTCTGCATCCAAAAGAGGTATTTTCCTTTTTCCTCCCTCATGCTTGGGCTGACATCCCCTTTCTTTTCTTGCTTATTCCAATAGTTTATGGTACATTTTTTGGCAGCGACCTTTTAAATAAGTGGAGTTCATATGAAGTTCATGCTTGCAAGGCTTGCCAAAGGAAACAACGCAATGCGGTGAAATACACATCCAAATGGAGCTTAGCCTAAAACATAACCACCTTTTTGCTGTGTCTAATGTCATCATGCTGCTGTCCATCATATTTGAGAAGTTGTGGCTGTCGGGCAAAGTCCCCAGGGACTGGAAAAATGGAAACATCACTCCCACTTAGAAGACAGGGAGGAAGGAGGACGCAGGGAACTGCAGGCTGATGGGCATCACCTCTGTGCCTGGGAAGATCATGGAGAAGGTCCTCCTACAAGGTGTGTTAAGGCACACAAGGGATGAGGAGATGATCCCAGCCAGCCAGCACGGCTTCACCAAGGGAAGGTCGTGCCTGACTCACTGGTGGCCTCCTGTGATGGAGTGATGGCATCGGTGTCTGAAGGGAAGGCAGCTGATGTTATCTGTGTGCCCTTGTGCAGGGCCTTTGGTTTGGTCCCTCACCACAGCCTTATCTCCAACTTGGGGAGGTATGGTTTTGAGGGCTGGGCTGTTTGGTGGATAAGGAGTTGGAAGGGTTGTGTTGGGTGGCTCTGTGTCCAGGTGGAGGCCAGTGATGAGCAGTGTCCCCCAGGGGTCTGTCGTGCGCTTCAGCATCTTCAGCAGTGACGCTGATGATGGAATTGAGTGCACCCCCAGCAGGTCTGCTGATGGCACCAAGCTCAGTGATGTGGTTGACTCATTAGAATGAAGGGACGTCAGCCAGGGGGACCTCGACAAACACGAAAGGTGGGCCCTTGTGAACCTTGTGAGGTTCAACACAGCAAAGGGCAAGGTGCTGCACTTGGGTCAGGGTGATCCCAGCTACGAATACAGACTGGGAGAAGAACTCCTTGAGAGCAGCCCTGTGGAGAAGGACCTGGGGGTCCTGGTGGATGAAAAGCTGACCGTGAGCCAGCAGGGTGCTCTTGTAGCTTGGAAGGTCAGTGGTGCCCTGGGCTGCATGGTTTGAGTTGGAAGGGACCTTAAAGATCACGTAGTTCCAACCCCTGCTGTAGGCAGGGACACCTCCAAGCACAGCAGCTGCTCACAGCCCCATCCAGCCTGGCCTGCAGTGCTTCCAGGGAGGGGGCATCCACAGCCTCACTGCACAACCTGTGCCAGTTCTCTCCTGATCTCTTTTTGTGTCTGCAATATCTGATAGAGTGAGATTTTATCCTACTTTGGGGCAGTTCAGGAAAAGGCACGGATACCAAGCTGGGGAAGGA